TCTATGTTTTGTAAGTGAGTGTGTATGTCTGTCTGTCAGCGAGTGTGTATGTATGTCTGTCAGTGAGTGTGTGTCTGTCAGTAAATGTGTGTGTCTGTTAGCTAGTGTGTATGCGTCTGTTCGTGAGAGTGTATGGTGTGGTTAAAACCCCATCAGTACTTACCTTTCTCCGGCGCCAGGCTCCCTTGGCGCCTGGGATCTCTCTGCCCCGATCCGCCTCTTAGCTCATTACTCAATGCTTTCTTGTGGACGTCCAGCGTCTTCTCACTGTGATTTTCACAGTGAGAATCATGGAAGTGCCTTTTGCGGCTGTCAGAGAGGCAGCTACTAGAGGCTGGATTAACCCTCAGTAAAACATAGCAGTTTGCCTGGAGAGTCCCTCCCCCACAATGTCTGCTGGCCGCCAGTCTCAATCAAGCTGCTGGCTGTTAGTGATGGGGAGGGGGGGTGGTTGTTAGTGATGGGGGAGAAGGGGGTAATGGAAGTGAGGTGGCCCAGATAAAACACAGAGCTCCACATAAACTATAAGATTTAGCTCGGTGGAGCTCTTCTCTAGTTACTGAATTATTTAATAATAATAAATAAATAAAACATTGCTGCTTACTGTTGGAGGTGTCAGTGTATGGAAAGTGCCGCTCACTGCTCTCCCTGCTGGTAATCTCTAGCAGGGCCGGATGTCACATGCCTCTCCCACCGCAGGCTCCTCAGAGCACTACCTGATGGGAAGGGAAGTGATGTCACATGCCCCGCCCACTGCAGGCTCCTCAGAGCACTACCGCGCGGGGAAATGAAAGGATTTGGCTATAGATTGAATATGAGGCGTGAAGGAGAGGTCAGAGTCAAAGAGAACACCTAGGCAGCGAGCCTGCGTGGCGGAGCTGATGGTAGCACCGTTGACTTGGAGGGAGACAGACACAGGAGTAACAACACTTGAGGGAGGAAAGGCCAGAATTTCAGTTTTGGTCAAGTTTAGTTTAAGGAAGTGGGCAGCCATCCAGTTAGAAACAGCAGAGAGGCAGTCAGAGACACTAGTCAAGAGGGACGGGGAGAGATCAGGAGAGGACAGGTAGATTTGTGTGTCATCTGCATAGAAATAATATTGGAAGCCAAAGGAGCTAATGAGTTTATCAAGGGAGGCAGTATAGATGGAGAACAGTAGGGGACCAAGGACTGAACCTGGGGGGACAGCAACAGAGAGGAGTTGGGGAGAAGAAGCAGAGCCAGAGAAAGAAACACTGAAAGAGCGCTGGGAGAGGTAGGAGGAGCACCAGGAGAGAGCAATATCTTGTAGACCGATATTGCGGAGGATGAGAAGAAGCTGTTGATGAACAACAGTGTCAAAAGCCACAGACAGGTCAAGGAGAATTAGGATAGAGTAGTGACCACGAGATTTTGCAGCGAGTAGATCATTGGATACTTTGGTCAGTGCCGTTTCAACAGAGTGCTTATCACGGAAACCAGACTGAAGCGGGTCTAACAGAGAGTTGGACTCGAGGAAGTCTGTCAATCTCGCATACACAATTCTTTCAAGGATCTTGGATGCAAAAGGCAGTAGCGAGATAGGACGATAGTTGGATGGGGAGTTAGGGTCAAGGCTGGGCTTCTTTAGAATTGGGGTTACAGTTGCATATTTGAAGGGCGATGGAAATATACCAGAGGAGAGAGAGAGATTGAGAATTTTAGTAAGAGGTGGAGAAAGAGAAAACAGAGTACGGATGAGATGCGAGGTAATTGGATCTAGGGAGCAGGTGGTGGGGCGGGAGGACTGGAGCAGAGCAGAAACCTCTTCCAATGTAGCGGGTGCGAATGAACATAGAACAGCGGAGGGAGTGAAGTTAGAGTTCATGAGCTGAAGTCAAAGACCTGAGACCTTTTCTATGTGCACAAAAGGCCTATTTCTCTCAAATATTGTTCACAAATCTATCTAAATCTGTGTGTGACGAACTGGACCTCGTCACGCGTTCTTGGAGGGGCATACTTGCCAGCCTCTTACCCTGTGACTATGGCTCCTGTGATATAACTTTATTTAAATCACTGTTTGTGCCTTTTTGGACTTATGAAGCAGCACTTTGAATACCCGAAGCAATTTGAAGTGGCACTTCGAATTACCGAACAACCGCATGAACCAGAGGCCACCTCTTAACACCTATTAACAACTTGGAATGTTTCTACCGCAGTGTTCTAATTGTTCGTCTGGGTGGCCGCAATTCCTAAGAACAACCATGAGGTGGCGGCCATCTTGTTTGCATGAACACAGGCAGCAGTGGTTGGGCATGAATCTCATGGAACTGAAATCGGATACAAAAACTCCTGAACACCGCTGGACTTCCATCATTCCCTACGTTTGTTTATATGCAGTTTAGAAAGGCACTGTTCGGTGAGATCATTCGTTTGGATGATGGGAACAAGCTCCAGGGTAAGACTTTTGACTCTGTTCGGTAGTTTGTTCGTTTTCAAACTACCAAACTAAACCTACCACAAGCCCTAATTCTCTGGAACTGTTTTTGGGCATGAGACCATGCCTGCGGTCGGTCAAATAAATGACTTCCATAACATTTCTGAACCACTGAACTGATTTGGGAGATTTTTGGATATGTTGGTCACCCAGATCAGGGCTATCATGGTATGTATGGGGATTTTATGTGTTTTTAAGGTATTTCGGGGGTTTTGTGAAAATGTGTGTTTTTTGTGTTTGGAGATAATTGAATGTATTATTGTAGTACTTGACTCAATAATCTCCTAAGTAAAGGGGAAGGCTTATTGTATTATGTGTGGGAGTGCCTTGGATTGTAACTGGTGATTGGTGTATACATTTGTGTCCCTGCCCCGAACAAGGTCCATGTGGGTGTCACCTTGCTTGGGGACTTGCACAAAAGGCCAGTGTGGCTACCATTAAACCATTCCTGCTCAACCCTCAACACGTAGCCTTGTCTCATGCTTGTAGGGAACCTGCTTCACAGCTATATCACTAGCTCTTGTAAGAGCTTCACAGCTATACTCTCTGGATTCCCACTGAATCTCTGGATCCAGGAGTTTGGTCCAAGACGAGAAGGGATGGCGAGACCCCAACCGAGCTGCGGCGGTTCGTAGGGTCTACGGTGCTTATGGTCCTCAGCGTCAGTTAGGAAGCATCGATTGGCAGAGGTACCCAGTCAGGGTACCAGGTAGTCTGTCACACTGTGTTAGTGAGCAACCCCTCCCTCACCGGAGGGGTGGGAGGAGCGGGCCTGAAAACCAGTCAGTATCTGGTGTGACCACTATTTGCCTCATGCAGTTCAACACATCTTCACATAGAGATGATCAGGTTGTTGATTGTGGCCTGTGGAATGTTGGTCCACTCTGTAACGGATCGCCTGGCACCCCGACTGGGTACCTCCGTTAAAGGATGCTCCTAGCGCTTCCTGAGGACT